GTTTGCCTCTCTCCCCCCTTCTCGCCTCCCCTTCCCATTGCACATTCTCTCCTGGCGGCGGCGCCCCACTTTGCAGCAGCCCCACCAGCCCCCGGCAGAGGAACATGGCGACAGGGAGCAGCTGTGGGGAGCTGAGCCTGCCCTGCCTGGCAGCCCTGCTGCTACTTGCATGCTGCCCCTCTCCGCCGGCCGCCGCCAGGACCCTGCTGCTGCACGCGGGGGCTGCGCCCCGGCCTCAGGACCGAGGCTTCGTGCTGCTCCAGGGAGAAGCGCTGAGCCCGGGTGACAGAGGCACGGGCAGGGCAGGCGAGAGGCTCCAGCCGCGGAGGAAGAGGAGCGCTGCGCAGCAGCAAGAGCCCATTAAGGTGTATGCTGCCCCTCTCCGCCGGCCGCCGCCAGGACCCTGCTGCTGCACGCGGGGGCTGCGCCCCGGCCTCAGGACCGAGGCTTCGTGCTGCTCCAGGGAGAAGCGCTGAGCCCGGGTGACAGAGGCACGGGCAGGGCAGGCGAGAGGCTCCAGCCGCGGAGGAAGAGGAGCGCTGCGCAGCAGCAAGAGCCCATTAAGGTGTATGGACAGGTGAGTAGCTTGGCAACCCCTCCGACTCCCCAGCTGCAAACCTGCCCAGGCCGAGGCTTTCCTTGCCATACAACCTCCCCCCTCCGCCAAAAGGGAGCAGCGCGGGCAGTGGTGTGCACGCCTTGCAGCTCCCGGGCACTCGCCCCTTGCATCACATCCCCCTCCAGTTGCAAAGGGACACGGAGCCGTTGGGTGGCTCTGTGCAGCGCTCCCCTTATAGAGGGGGTGGCGAAAGCAATGCGCGCAGTCATTCCCTCCCGCTCCTTTGGCACGCACCCGTTCTTAATGCGACCGCAGCATCTTCAATTTGCACCCGCTGTCAACTCTCCTAGCTCAAAGAGGGAGAGACCCACCATGTCCGTTCCCAGAGCTCTCCTTCAGTGTTACATCTAATTTTCCCATTCCTGTATGTAAGAAATTTTGTTATGTGCACGAGGCACGTGTGGATGTGCACCACCATAGAAACTTATGGTGGTGGCTGTGGGTGCTCTGCTAATCAGCTGGTTAGCATTTGCATTTCCCCTGAGTGGTCACCCAAGCACCCAGTTTACAGGCACCACTGCTCTCCTCCCATTTTTCAGGAAAGTAGCTCTGGTAAGACACAGGTCCTGTTAGATCCAACTAACATGGTGCATTGCTTCCTGGCTGGGGAGCTCAGAAGTGTTTATTTTAATATTTGGCAGCTAAAAGCAAACAAAGCAGAAGAGAGCATTGCATCATTCCAGCACAAGGGAGTAAACACTGTTCTGCTTAGAATTGACTAATATTAAAAGCACCGTGCAGGCACCCCCTTATCAAATAATTGAAATTGAAAGTCGGAACTATTTTACTTGGGGGTCTCTCTGGATAGCAAGGTGCTGCAACAGGAAGGGGTAAATTGTCCTCTGCAATACAGAGTTTAGGCTATCTTATAAACAATCTTATGCAGTGTAGGTGGCTTTCTCAGAATGTCTTGTCAAGTAATCAGACTTCCTCTTGAGCTTTAAAAAAACACCCGTGTTGTTAAACCTGCTGCTTTAGTGCATAAATTCAGGGTAGATTTGTGGTACTGACAATCTGACATTCATTTGTTGACATAGTGGGCAATACAATGAAAAGAACAAATTTGACTGACAATTATAAGTAGTTTAATATCAACTGTGCAGGGCTCTGTTCTGACACTTCTTGCTGTACAAATAACTTCCACTCCCACTAAAGTTGTGCCCAGTCCCATTTTGTATGTGAAATATTTGCCTTTTGCTTTGAGCAAAAAAGGCTGGGTGGCCTTTTTCCTGTAGTCAGGACATGTGCAGGGAGTTATAGGTTGAAAGTTTGGGTGCTGAAAGTTACTCAGCCTAGAAAGTGTCCCGAAATTACAGTTTTGAGGAACTAACCACAGATTTTTGACACAAAATAATGTTTCCCTTTCAGTTTGTAGCCCGCAACACTTCAACCTTCCAACTCCTTCCCCGGGCATTGGCCTAGAGACTGTTTTAGTCACATAGAGCAGCAGCAGGGAACCTTTGGACTTGAGTTATCTAAATGTTAGCATCAAATAAATACACACAGGCCCACGGGAGGGGGGGGGGGGGAGCAGTTGCCCCAGGGTCCAGTGAGTCAGAAGGGCCTGGGACTCCTGGTCACCACGGTGCTGGCCATAGCCTTGGGGTCACCAGAGCCCAGTGCAGCACGCTCCGGACAGTGCTAAGAGCTGGCAGGGGGTGGGGGGTGGTTGCAGCATGGTCTGGGCAGTGCCGAGGGCTAGATGTCCCAGCGCTGACACTTTTGCCCAAGGCCCCGCCCATACTGCAGCATGGGGCCTGCCCTCCCCCCTCACCTCACGCCGGGGCCCAGCGATTCTGAATACACAATACTGTGTCCCTCTAAAACGGGATATAATCCTCTACAGAATTATTTTCCTAGAAGAAGGTAGGTCGTTTCTTTAGGAACGACTAAGGGAGGGGTGGGGAACCTCAGGTCTGATAGTTGGATGCACCCCCAGCTTGCCTGGATGCAGCGCCCAAAGTTCACAGCCCCCCCCCCACATTGGGGTGCCTGTGCTGGTGCTCCAGCCCCCTCGCAGCCTCACTATGGGGCTGGAGCACACAAAATCTACTAGGCTGTGCCCCCCTAGGCGCTGATGTGTGAGGGGAATGTGGGGAGTGTCTTTCTGCTTCTCATTCAGGCACCACATCAGTGAGGGTTTTTTGTGTGTGGCCCTCAACCCAAAAAAGGTTTCTCACCTCCGGACTAAGGGAAAAGAGATGATTACAATAGCAAATCGCGCATCTGTCTATAGAACTACAATACACATCCTGATGGGTTGGAGGCATTTTATTCAGACTGAACATACATCTGAGCTGCACTTTGTATTATGTGGAGGAGTGATTTGCACATAGTACTTATCATCCCACCCTTCTGCCATAAAAGAAATCCCACCCTAGGCTGCATTTTATACCAGTCTTTCAGAAGCCTTCTTGGGACAGATCTGGGATCTGCCCTCCATCAGCTACTGGGGGTCAAAGAAAGGTGTCTTGTTTCTGAACAGCGAATGGTGTGGAGACCGAACAGGAGCACAGAAGTTTTTACTGTAGTCTCCTTGCTCCAGTTTTAATATTGAACAAGTTTCACTGCACTGGCCACAGACTGATGAAACCCTTTGTTGAGAAATGCAGAGGTCACTTTAAGCAGGGACAGGAAAGGAGTGTTGCAATGCAGGCTGCGAGAGGCAGTCCTGAAGCTAACATAGCAATTGGTCCAATTTACAGAAGTGTAGGCCTCGCTACGTTAAATTATTTGAGTGATGACTTTTCCTTGGGCTCCCTTCTCAACACTGTGAGCTAATTGCTGCTAAAGGGAAGTGTAACTGGCCATTGCTTCATGCTTCTGTTTGGGTTTAGCCAAATAGAAATATCTAGTTTCCCCCCACAATCTAGCATGTAATGCCATTTCCGCTCATCACATCCTACAGATGTTTTGAAGTAGGGGATGTAGATGCTTTGGTGCAGTAAGAGCTGCTTTAATGTAGAAGCAAGAGAAGAGCAGGTTGGGGTAAGGGAGAAATGACGGAGGAGTCGTCAGGTTTTGTTGCTCTGAAGAGAGCCAATTCCTACACTTTTGAAGTGTTGCTTGTTGGCTTCCCTGACACTGAATTTAAGATACATAATGAGGTCATTTTAGAAGAACCTGACACTGTCTCTCACTTTTGGTACCACCGGTTTATCAGTGCCCACTCAGTCTCTGGTGGCTTTCTTTCAACCCTCCTGAACAGCTTAGGTGGAAAGTTTTTGCATCAGTCTGCAACATCAGTCATTGAGTGAAACTGATCACAGTAATTCCAGTACCAACCAGACCTGGACAAATAGAAAGCAGTAGGAGTTAAACATCAAAGTTCCACTCTATTTGGCCTTTTCTTGTTGGCTTTCGTTTTCAAAGAGTGCTTTCCCAGGAGAACTGAGTCACTCTCACTAACAGCCTCATGCACCATTTGAGGCTTGAGTTTTAACCTCTCACCCTTCCACTGCTGCAAAACAAGCTATGAGAAATCTAAGGCCCAGGTTCCAGGTATCAGAGGGAGAATGTCAGCTTGAAACTTCATTTCAGAAAGAAGTTCCTGCTACAATCTTGCAATGTTAACTATGACATGAAGTTGTTCTGTCCTCTGTTAGGTACCTAAACAGGGAAACTGTAGAACTGGTTGCACCTTAAGCGGTCTACTACTTCTCCCTCAGTCACATTTTTTTTGTAACAATGGCAGGGAAAAGAGTCAGATAGAAGGGGAATTTTAAAAAGAGTTAGTGTCAACTTTAGACTCCTGTTGAGTGACTTTGGACTGATCAGTCCAAGACTGCTGCAGTCTGTTCAGTTTCTGTCCTCTGTTCATGATACCCTCTGAGAAATGCACATCTAGCAAACTCTCATGCAGGCTCCATCCAGAGTTTACTAGTCCCCTGCTTTCCCTTTGACTTGAACAAAATGGGCAGTGTGATTCTTGGGGGTTACATGGATTTTCCTGGCACAATGTGACAGACACATGACTTGGGGCCTTTGCTAGTGGTCATGTCAGCTCTCATATGCCCATTGTTTCTCCAATAAGAAATCCAGCTCTGAGCCCCCTTCTCCTCCATCCCTCTCCAAACAGGAAGTAGAGAACCCAAACAAAAATGCAACACTAAGCACTGTTCAGCTTTTGAGAGATCTTTGCAAACCTGATCCTGGCTCTGTAAAATCTTGGACAAATTGCTAATCCTTTGATTTTCCTCATCAGTAACTAGGGGTTAGTACTTTCTACCTCAAAGGGAATCCTGCAATTAATTGGTTGTAGACTGCCTGGCTCCTAGTTGTGTATCTGCAGATCATCAGGGAGTCAGAAACAGGAAGGAAAAGACCTAAACTTGGAGAGGAGGGGGAGCTGCCAAATTAGGGCAGTAAAAATGGGAAACTTTTTGTTCTCAGTTGTCCCTTGGCTTAAGGAGACACGCCATTCTTTTTCTCCCCCGCTGCCTTAAGCGATAGTACCCTGGATGGTTTCCGATAGCCAATTTTCAAAAGCCTTGAGCACCTTAACTTGAGCTTTACTCAATAGGAGCTGCAGGAGCTCAGCACCTTTGAAAATCAGGCCCTGAACTTGAGACATACAACATACCGGTATTTGACTTTGTGCTGTGCCCCAAGTCAGACTTCTTTCCTTTGCCCCCTCTAGTCTCCATCTCTCTCTTGCTTGTGCTAAGGCATCAGCCGCTGTGTTTCAGCCCCATAAGCTGCAAACTAGATTTAGAAAACTCAGTTTCAAGATAAGTGTTTTGTTCCTGGGGGCGGTAGAGATGAATCATTCATCTGCCAACACAGTGCAGCTTTGGGTGCAACTCAGAGCTCTGTGCAGCCTGGGCAGGCCTGCCAGTGGTTCTGGAGCCTGCAGCCAGAGCACTTAGGTTGCCTGTGGACAGCACCTTCCTGTTGAAAGCCTCATCAAGCCATTGGACTCACGACAGTTGTTGCTAACTTGCCTGCAGCTGCTCCTC